CTGTGATCAGCGGCAGCTGGATGCAATCATCGCATGCCAATGTGCATTGGCTCATTTAGTTTACACTCGAAGTGGATTGGTCTCTCTAAGCGAGATCCCATTTCGTCGGTCACCGATGGGACTCGGAGTGACCGACTGAAAGGGAACTATAGATTGTCTTGGCATTTAACTGAAATAAATAAGATTAAGTTGAAGTACTTTAAAATGACTAATACCGAGAAAAAAAAAAAAAAAAAAAAAAAAAAAAAAAAAAAAAAAAGCAAAATAGAATTTTTAAAAAACAATAAAAAATAAAACTGAAAATAAAAAAATAAAAATTAATTTTAAAATATCAATAAATATTATTTATAGTAAATAAATAATACTAAGATAACACTGAACCCATCAAACCCAACATTTACATTTTTACATTTATTCATTAATATGCTTTATCCAAAGCAACTTACAGATGTGGAATAAAACAAGTCAACAAACTAGATCTGTCCAGTTAACTAGCTTTGGGTTGCTAGTTATTTTTTAACAGAGTGCCTAAACATTTTGTGCATGGATTGCAAAGATGCATATATCTAGTCTAAAAAGATGATTCTGTCTGCTCAAAGTCACACATGCAAACCAAAGCACATCTCAGAAAAACGGCAAGTGCTTTGAAGTGGAAAGGAAACACATTATGCAGCCGTCACATAACACGGATGAGCTGCATTAAGGTCTCTATGCTTTTAATGAACCGTTCGCTTTGCACCTGCTGCCACCCAGGATACAGCTTTCACAGTCTCTAATTAGCCAGCTAGTCAAAGTGCAACGTTAATTTGGCTCGGTGTGTAAAGCCAACGCAACTGTAAGGCCTGCAGTCGAGGGTAAAAACGACAAGCGCAGGAGCGCAGGACCCCGCAGGGCCGGTCTTAATGAACTGAACTGCAAGCAGTACGCGGGATGAAGGTCAACTCTCACCCGCTCCACGAAGTAGGTGAGAGGCTCTCTGCCCCGCGGATCTGGTTCAGTCCAGCTCAGCACAGCGTAGGTGTCGCTAAGCTCACAAACTCGCATATCAGTGGGGGAGAACGGTACTCGGATTTGACCTGTGGACGGCAAAGAGGAGACATTGAGAATGGTGCAGAACACTGGCAACATACAGCATGCAGAAAAGAGCAGGAGAGCGAGGGACTCATGGAGAACGGGTAAAGGCATGGTCACACTAGACCAAGGTTATTATTAACTAAAACCATAAAAACATTGAATTATTTGAAATAAAATAAACATTAACTGAAATAAAAAAAAAATAAAATTTAAAATAATAAAAAATAAAACAAAAATATATAAATATAATATTTCGAAGTATAAAAAAGGCAACATTTCTCATTTTCGTTTAGTCCTAATTTGAGGTACTAAAAGAACTAAAACTAAATATACTAAAACTAACAAATAACAATTAATAAAAATTATACATACATTTAATAAAACCTAATAAAAGTGACAAAAAAAACTAAACTTAAATTTAAATTAAAATTAAAATGAAAAGAGAAAATATAAAAATAAAATCTAATTCAAAATATTAACAAAAACTATAATAGCACATAAATGATACTAAAATAATATAGCACTAGATGTCAACCCTCGGTTATCAGTTGTAGGAAAACGGTAGAAGGCTATGCAAAGATACCTATTTTTCAATAAATATGGGTTAAAATAACAAAACACTCTGAAATTTATTTTCAAGGACATTCAGTATTTGACCTGCAATATTTTTTCTCAACATTTTTAATGAAAGAAAAATGGCAATATTAAACAATAATAATAATAATAATACATAAAAACAATAAAATAAATACATATATAAAAAAAAATTAACTTGTGAAATGACAATGTTTTAATGTTTTTTAATGTTATTCTTACAACAGACTCATTCAGTAAATCATAGATAAATATTCCCAAAATAAAATACACATAAACATCACGATTCTTATTTTATAATTAGTATCTTCCTAATGCATGTAGGATGAAGAAAATATATACCCTCAATATCAATGCTTACTAAAATGACACTACACTAGATATCAGCCCTCACAGATCCACTGTAGGAGGCAATACAAAGATACCGAATTTTCACTAAACATGGGTTAAAACAACATAAAACATAAATGACAAATTTGTCATAGCAACAAGTTTGGCATTCAAATTTTTTTTCAAGGACATTATTAGACCTGTAATATTTTTACTTGAAATGAAAACTTGAAATGATAATGCAAATAGTGAGTTTAATGGTTTTTTAATGTACAACAGACTTGTTCAGTAAATCAGAGATGAATATTCCCCCAAACAAAATATGCATAATAAACATCATGATTCTTATTTTTATAATTAGTGGCTTCTTAATGCATTTCCATGAAGGATGAATAAAATATATAATCAATATAAATGCTTAGAGGGTTAAGCATTTAGATGCATTTTTATGTATGACTTAGTCGCCAAACTGTACTGAAATCAATTGCGAGTCAGTTAGGATGCTTCCTTAGCAGGCAACTGCCTATGTAGATCACAGACAGCAAGGCAGCTCACTAGGGTTTGTAACAGAGCTAATTTATCTAGTGATGAGCAATAGCAATAAAGACTGAGGCAGTTTTATTGTCTCTCAGCATTAAAAAGATGATGATATGTCTCTGAAGCTTAAAGATTTAAATGGTGTACGCTGTGCTGCTAACTGCCATGGCAACACCAGGGACTCACGGGCCATTATGAGGAGCGTAAAGAGCCCATATGAACCTGTTGAGTGGTTTTACCGAGTACTGCAGTGTGTGTGTGTGTGTGTGTGTTTTGCATTCATGCATAGAAACTTTTAGACATACTGGGGAGCACAGTCCACCTGCGAATGCTTCATATGAGATCTGCCCTATGAAACAGAGGAAATTCATCATCATAACTGTCCGAGCCGTAAATTTTTTAGGGTGGTTAATTAATGAAAAAGAAATACATCTTAGAAGAGATGACAGGAGCAACAAATCAGTTGTTTAAGGGTGAATCTAATGAATCCTGTCAAGAATATGTGCAGGTAATATTTCCCCTCAAAATCAAAGAACAGAAATATGAAATGAATTTTTTGCATTAAGAAAATGAAGCATCGTAAAATTATTTTCATGGCAATTTCTCATTTTTCCCTTAAATTCTCATTTATGTAATGTATCCTGCAAGGTTATTATCGTTAACTAAAACCATAAAAATAAATAAGAAAATAATAAAAAAATTAATTACTTGAAATAAATGTTAACTGAAATAAAATAAATTTTTTTTAACTTATTTTATTTCATTTTACAACATTTCTCATATTCCTTTAGTTTAACTTTTAGTTATTAAAATAACTAAAATTGAAAAAAAAAAAAAAATACTATAAATACATAAAAGACATGAAAAAAAACTGAAATGATAAAAACAAACTACAAATTTGCTAAATTACTAAAACAATAAAATAAAAATTTAAACTGAAATTATAAACATAAATGTACTACTAACATAAAAAACTAATACAAACTACAATATTGATAGATAAACAACGCTATATCCTAACATTATAATATTAAATGTTTTATTTATTTCTTTAAAAAGTTTCATTATTCTTAATGGTGAACCTTACTAGTAGATTCTCCTTACTATAATATATTTATGTTTGTTATTTAAATTAGAATTAGTGGCAGTTCAACAAATGCTGCCATTTTATATACATTTTATTCACAAATTAAATAATAAACATTTATTTTTTTGCACTACATTAATGATAATACATAAAGTAAGTTTACTTAATTGTTTTGAACATAATGGTTACAATACATAAAATCTTTATGGTGCTAAATTACTGTAGGCTTCATTCTTTATGAAAAATATAGTTAATTTTTTTCTTATGATTTTAGCATGGAAATCTGACTATTGAGTAGGGCTGCACAATTAATCGAATATCTAATTGGGATTACAATTACGGATGCCACAATTACGTAATCGTTCAAAGGCGCAATTACAAAAAATAAAAAAAGTCCACTTACATTATTCTGCGTGCTTAAGGTGTGTTTTTTTTTTCTACATGTTATCTTGCTATCAATGTTTTTCAGGAAGAGTGTTTTCAACTTATTTTCATATACAAATATGACATGCAGTTGCTTCAAATAATAGCATAAAACTATGCAAAACATCTTTTATTTTTTAGTATAACATTATAATTCCATGCATATTTTAACTTTTTTATTTAAAGAAGAAACCAAACCAATGTATAGTTGAGATTTGAGGCTTAATGCTATAGAAAAGTTTTTCATGAAGAGTGTTTTCCACTTTCATATCAATATATGGCATGCATTCAATGTAAATTGTAATAATCATAATTAATAATTGCAATTACACTTTTCCATGCATATTTTTACTTTTTTATTTAAAGAAGAAACCAAACCAATGTATAGTTGAGATTTGACGCTTAATGCTATAGAAAAGTTTTTCATGAAGAGTGTTTTCCACTTTCATATCAATATATGGCATGCATTCAATGTAAATTGTAATAATCATAATTAATAATTGCAATTACACTTTCAAGGGAATAATCGAAAATTATGATTTTTGTCATAATCGTGCAGCCCTACTATTGAGCACATTTTTTCCTTAAATTGTAATTTATGCAATGTATTCTGCAAGGTTATTATTGGTAACTAAAACAAACACCATAAAAGCATTTTCATTGCTATACTAAAATACCATTACTTTTTTTCTTTTGATTTCAGCATGAAATGTTCTTGACCATTTTGGTGACATTCAACCCTACAGTGTGATTTGATGCAATGAAACATCACATGATAAAGACTATCTCCTCTATCTACAGTAAATCTGAGCTTGTGTGTGAGTGTAGAAGCATGTATTTCTTCTTATCTCTTCGACCGACTGCATCAGTCTGAACTCATGAGCGTTGCGATCTACTCACCCTCCAGCTGGTCCTTAGTGATCACAATCTCTCTCCCGCGATCCACCTTCACCACTGACAGAGAGAGAGACGAGAAGAAAGCAGGAGATCAGAGATACAGATGGATGCTGCCAGTATCATATAAGAGACTTTCTTTATAATTCATGAAGACGCTCTTACCCGTAGTCCTGCTGGGCTCCAGGGGGTCAGAGGTCAGGATGGGGTCAGTGGGTTTAGACGGACGGCCCACGCCTGCCTGGTTGACTGCACACACACAGAACTGGTACATTGTGTTTTCCTTCAATCCCATGACAGGATAATGACACTCCCTCTGGATGACATCATTACAGCGTTCCCACTTCCCAACACCGATGTCACACCTGCACGAGAGAGAAGAGACTGTGACATAAGAGCATTTTGAACATAATAAACCACCAGAGTAATGATATGCATTTATTGCAGCTTTATCAGTAGTGGTGGTTGCCGTTGAAATCAAGGAGAACACTTTAGCAATCACCTAGCAACACCATGGCAACCACTCAAGCAACTGCATAACAATGCATTAAAAACTACTCTGAACAACTGTGCACCCCTAGCAACACCCTAGCAACCACTCAGAACAATCAAGCAACATCATAAAAATGCATGAAAAACTACTTTGAATATTTGAGCAACGCCCTAGCAACCACTCAAAACACTCAAACAACAGCATAACAATGCATTAAAAACTACTCTGAACTTATGAGCAACCCCCTAGCAACATCCTAGCAACAGACCGGCCACCGGTTTTAGCAATGCATTAAAAAACACTCAGAACTCTGCAGAGCAACCTCATAGCAACACCCTAGCAACACACCGGCCACAACATAGTAATGCGTTAAAAAACGCTCAGAACTCTGCAACCCCTAGCAACTACTCAGGACACCCTAGCAACAGCATAGCGATGCATTAAAGACCACTCAGAACTTTGCAACCGTTAGCAATGCCCTAGCAACTACTCAGAACACCCTAACAACCATCAAGCACTGCCCTAGCAACTACTCAGAACACCCTAACAACCACCTAGCAATGCCCTAGCAACTACTCAGAACACCCTAACAACTGCCTAGAAATACCATAAAAACACCTTAGCAACATCATAGCAACCACTCAGAACACTCTAATAACTGCCTGGCTTCGCTCTTGAACCATGCAAAACACCCTAACAACCATCTAACAACTCAGAACACCTTAGCAACAACATAGCTACACCACAGCAACCACATAGAACACCCTAACAACCACCTAGCAACATCATAATCACCACACAGAACACCCTAACAACAAGCTGGCTAATCGGAACACCCCAATAACTGCCTCACTCATGAACCATACAGACCTGCCTAACAACCAACTAGCAATATTATAGTCACCACTCAGAACACCTGTTCTGTTCTTGTGAGTTAAAAACTACTCTGAACTTATGAGCAACCCCATAGCAACATCCTAGCAACAGACCGGCCACCGGTTTTAGCAATGCATTAAAAAACACTCAGAACTCTGCAACCCCTAGCAACTACTCAGGACACCCTAGCAACAGCATAGCAATGCATTAAAAACCACTCAGAACTTTGCATCCCCATAGCAACTACTCAGGACACCCTAGCAACAGCATAGCAATGCATTAAAAACCACTCAGAACTTTGCATCCCCATAGCAACTACTCAGGACACCCTAGCAACAGCATAGCAATGCATTAAAAACCACTCAGAACTTTGCATCCCCATAGCAACTACTCAGGACACCCTAGCAACAGCATAGCAATGCATTAAAAACCACTCAGAACTTTGCATCCCCATAGCAACTACTCAGGACACCCTAGCAACAGCATAGCAATGCATTAAAAACCACTCAAAACTTTGCACCCCCTAGAAACGCCCTAGCAACCACTCAGAACACTCAAACAACAGCATAACAATGCATTAAAAACTACTCTGAACTTATGAGCAACCTCATAGCAACACCCTAGCAACACACCGGCCACAACATAGCAATGCGTTAAAAACACTCAGAATTCTGCAACCCCTAGCAACTACTCAGGACACCCTAGCAACAGCATAGCGATGCATTAAAGACCACTCAGAACTTTGCAACCCTTAGCAATGCCCTAGCAACCACTCAGTACACCCTAGCAACAGCATAGCAATGCATTAAAAACCACTCAAAACGTTGCACCCCCTAGAAACGCCCTAGCAACCACTCAGAACACTCAAACAACAGCATAACAATGCATTAAAAACTACTCTGAACTTATGAGCAACCCCATAGCAACACCCTAGCAACACACCGGCCACAACATAGCAATGCGTTAAAAACACTCAGAATTCTGCAACCCCTAGCAACTACTCAGGACACCCTAGCAACAGCATAGCGGTGCATTAAAGACCACTCAGAACTTTGCAACCGTTAGCAATGCCCTAGCAACTACTCAGGACACCCTAGCAACAGCATAGCGATGCATTAAAGACCACTCAGAACTTTGCAACCCTTAGTAATGCCCTAGCAACCACTCAGTACACCCTAGCAACAGCATAGCAATGCATTAAAAACCACTCAGAACTTTGCATCCTCATAGCAACTACTCAGGACACCTTAGCAACAGCATAGCAATGCATTTAAATCCACTCAAATCTTTGCACCCCCTAGAAACGCCCTAGCAACCACACAAAAGACATTAGCAACAGCATAGCAATGCATTAAAGACCTCTCAGAACATTGCAACCCCTAGCAACCATTCTGAACACTCAAGAAATAGTATAGCAATGCATTAAAACTAGCCCCTAGCAACACCCTAGCAATCATTTAAAACACCAAAGTTTGTCTATATAAAGTTTGACAAATATTGTCTATTTTGTCTTTTGTGTATTTTTATATAATATACTTTGAATTTGTGTATCTTCATTTTTATTATCTGTCTTAGCTATTATTTTTGTCTGACAGAACAATAAATGGCAATAAATGTCATTCTGATTCTAAAACTCTGTCATTAAAGTACAAAAAGGACAAACCAAATGTTTGGATATTTAGAAATTCAGTCAACTTTTCACTCAAACTATTATGCTTATAATTTAGTTTCATAATGGAAAAATAATTGTATAAAAAAAGGCAAAACAGAAGCATTTCCAGTGGTGGTCTCAGACATTTGGACTCCACAAGTATCCATAATAAGATGCAATTATCTTCAAAAACTAAACACAAGACAACAAGACAAAAACTGGCAGAACATTGTAGAGTGAAGCAGCATGTTGCTAGGAGACAGGAAGGTTAGGCACTCATACTCTCTCACCATGATGTCTTTCATTTCAAGTTTTATCCCTAGAAACAGCTAGAAGCTGCTCGGATCTCTCTTAAGATGAGAGCTCATGAGAGCGACCGTCAGAAGAACATCGTGGATCATGCTTCACCTCTCTATGAAGTAACCCTGCACAGAAGCGGCTCCGTCTGCGCTGGGAGGAATCCACGAGAGGAACACGTAATCCCGGTTCACATCAGAACACTTCACCTGTAGAGGAGAACCTGGAGCGCCGACCACAACCGCAGGTCCATCTACACACAGACAGAGAGAGATAGAGAGGAAACAAACTGACATATGGCACTGAGCTTGAATTTTCCAGATGTTTTTCCTGAAAAAAAAGGCCCTTGTAATCTCAAATGCATCTCCTCTGTTGTTCAGAAGAGGTCTCAACAATGTCTCAAATAGTGCTCAGATTTGACAAGATAAAAAGAATAAAATTTCAGTATGAACACATCAAACTCTTACAAGATCAAATCATCTGAGCTGCCATCCACGTTTATTTTAGTTCTATGAATGTCAACAATATTCTCATTCATCAGTGTCATTTTAGTATTATACATAAATTATAATTATTATTATTACATTTTAGTATTTAGTAATATTTTAAATTAGCTTCGATTTTTTTATTTGAGTTAGTTTTCATTTTAATTTGAGTTTTTTGTTGTATGCTTTTGTAATTTTTATTAGGTTTTTAAAAAATATTTCCGTTCAGCTTTAATTTATTTTTATTGCAGTTTTAGGCTTATTTTATTGCAGTTAGTTTAATTTAGTTTTCTTTGAATTTTTTTAGTTTACATTTTTAATCTAATATTTATATTTTATTTGAGCTTTATTTAACTTACTGAAACATTTTTTTGTGATAGTTTTAGTTTTAGTTAACAACAGCAAAACTGTCATTACTGTCTATTTTTATTTATTAATAATAAAAAATAACTGGGAACTTAATTTCAGGTGTTTCATCTAACAATTATATTTTTATTTTATTTCAGATTTATTCCGGTACCAAAATGATTTTTAATAGTTTTAGTTTTAGTTAACAATAACAAAACTTTCATTCATGTCTATTTTTATTTCTAATAAATAAATAAATAAATAAATGAATTAATGAGAGCGCCATTTATTTTAATTTAAGATTTGTATTTTTTATTTCATTTATTATTTATATTTTAAATTTCAGATTTATTTCAATAATGAAAATTATTCATAATAGTTTTAGTTTGTTAACAATAGCAAAACGGTCATTCATGTCTATTTTTATTTCTTAATAATAATAAAGAAATAACTGAAACAACTTTTTTTTTTTTTTAATTTCAAGTGTTTATGTAATTTTTATATTTTATTTTAGTTCAGCTTTATCTGAATACCAAAAATTATTTTTAGTAGTTTTGCTTTTAGTTAACAATAATCGTTCATGTCTATTTTTAACTTTTACGATTTTACCATTTATGTCTATTTTATAAAAAATAAATTACTGGGAACCCCATTAGGTTTCCCTGACCTGTTACTGAGCAGCCACTGAAAAATGAAATTTCCCTCCGCAGCACAGTTAAGCTTACTTCAGTATGTTTCTTAAAAGAGGACAGCTGCAGGGCTTCTCAAGCTCTTATCTGTTTAATCGCCACCAACAAGGATGAAACAGACTCATAAGAGCAACCTCCGGCTCCTTCCTGTTACCTGGCAGATTTGTAATGCAAATTTTTCCTCTGAGATTAAGCGAGGACATCACACGCAGCAGAGTGAAGCTCACTTTCTAATTACTACACTGCAGGCTTACAGAGCGGCCCACTTCCTTTAATGAAACAGGAAATTCAATTCCCGTCCTCGTCTTGCTTTTAAGGACTTACGCTGACAGGGGAACTCTGCTCTGGAAAGAACATCACAGATTCATGAGAATTATGTCTCTGAGGAGTTCAAGTTTTACATTTCTTAATTAGGAGAGACAGGCGGCAATTGTAACACACTAAACTTCTTCAATCGCCAATAATCTGGAGCGATGACACCCAACAAACGATCAGTTCAGCTCTTTCTCGCTCTGCCTGAGAGCAAAAACCCTGATTCTGTTCTGTTCTGTTCTGATGTTTTTTTGGACCCACTTTATATTAAGTGGCCTTAACAACTATGTACTTACATTTAAATGAATAATTTGGTACAATGCACTTATTGTGCACATACATGTTTTTACATTGTACTTATATTTTAAAAATACCTGCATGTAATTACATCTGTAATTAATTTATGTAATTACATTTATAATTACACAGTTGACCCATCCCTTACACCTTAACCCACCCTTAAACCTACCCATACCACCAAACCTGTCCCTAACCTTACCCGTATCCCACCTCAATAGCAGCAAAAGTGTTTTGCAATACAATATGAACACAATATGTACATTGCCCTTAATTTTTGATGTAAGTACACAATAGTTAAGGCCACTTAATATAAAGTGGGGCCGTTTTTTTTTCTCTAGATGTCCAGTAATTTTCTGAAGCCTTTCAATTTAGACTCATCTATATTTTATATGGAAGCCCATTTCCACCACTGAATAAAAAAATAAAAAAGGTAATTGAGACTTTTTATCTCCCAATTCTGACTGTTTTCTCACATTTGCGAGTTTTAAAATCAGAATTGTGTGTTATAAAGTCAGAATTCTCACAATTCTGATTTTTTATTTTTTTTTTACAATTCCAAGTTTATATTGCAATTTTGACTTTTTCCCACAATTCTGATTTTTTTCTCTCAATCGCAAGTTTATATCTCACAATTCAGACTTTATAACAAGCAAATGTGAGTTTAAATCTGACAATTCTGAAAAAAGAAGTCAGAATTGTGAGATATAGATTCGCATTTGTGAGAAAAAAGGCAGATTTGCGAGACAAACTTGCATTTGCGAGAAAAAAGTCAGAATTGTGAAAATAAAATCAGAATTGCAAAGTATAAACTCGCAATTGCGAGATATAAACTGGCAATTGCGAGAAAAAGGCAGATTTGCGAGACAAACTTGCATTTGCGAAAAAAAAGTCAGAATTGCGAGATATAAACTCGCAATTGTGAGAAAAAGGCAGAATTAGGAGGTAATAGTCAGAATCGCAAGACATAAACTAGCAATTGTGAGAAAAAGTCAGAATTGCAAAAATAAAATCAGAATCGCAAAGTATAAACTTGCAATTACAAAAAAAAATCAGAATTGCGAAAAAAAAAAAGTCAGAATTGTGAGATAAAAGTCGCAATTACCTTTTTTTATTTTTATTTTTTTCAGTGGGGAAACCGACTTCCATAATTTTATCTCCAGTTATGAATTTCTATGACAAATTCTTATTAATATTTAAGCTTATTTTAATATTTAAAATACTAAGAGTATCTGAGGATCTGACCTTTGACATAGACGTAGGCGCTGTGCTCGACGGTTCCCTCCCAGATGCGCAGACGGACGCTGTACAGGCCTTCATGTTCCTTGTGCACTCGCTTCAGGGTGAGATTGGCGGATCGCAGACCCGTCTGCAGCTCCACACGACTGGACTGATGCAGCACCAGCCCTGAGCAGACAGGTTTTATGTTACACGCATTTTCCGCCTGGTTACTATGCTGTTGCTAGAGTGTTCTGGGTGGTTGCCAGGTTGTGGCTCTGTGGTAAACTTGGCATTGTTGCACTGTGAGTCTTGTAAGATCAAATTCTTGTGATGTTACTTTGGATAAAAGCATCTACTAATGTAAACGTACAATTTTATTGTTATTTATTTATACAAAATTCCATGTTGAGCGTCTCACCATCTCTGTACCAGGTCACATCCTGTTGGAACGGCAGTAAAGCTGTGGTGAAACTGCACTGCAGAACCAAGTTGTCACCTTCTTTCACAAATGTTGGAGGAAAGGTGGAGGCCAGCTGAGCGTCCGGTTCTGGAACTGGGACTAGGACGAGAAAGAACAGGAAAAGTTAGCAAAATTATATTCTTCTTACTTCATTCATTAAAGCAATAAGACCCAAGAAGCCATGGGTTGCAGTGAATTTAGAACAGCTAAGGGGCGTTGTTATGCACGACACGAAGCAGAAGGCCTAAAACCCTCTTAGCTGTTCTAAATTCACTGTAAACCATATCTTCACTTGGCTTACTGCTTGTATAAAATGGTTTCCACACAATACATATATTAAAGGCAAAAGGTGTATTAATATGTAACTTTTTTTAAATCATTAAACGTCTCCTTCCGCTAGAAAAATAGTGACAGTATAGAAAGTTTCTGTAACTTTATTTATAATAGATCAGTGGTAACATGCCTCATCTGATGAAACAAACAAAAACAGATACTGGAACTGATCTCATGTGCTGTGTTATTAATTTTATAAGACAGTATGTAATATTTCCTCGCGTACATGCATATGCTCATCTCTCAGATCTCTCTTATAGTTTAAACCATACTGGTTCACGGCATAGCGTGAGTTTGCCTTTAAGAAACGTGTAACTTGAACATACAGTTCTGTACCTGAAACAGAAAACTTTTAAATAACATTCCATCTGCACTTCAGAAACTGTGGGCTTCAACACATACATGCAAATAAACGTTTCTCCCACACGGCAGCAGTTTATTTGAAAGGCAGGGTTGCCAGGTCTGCGAAACAAAACTAGCCAAATTGAATCAGAATCAGAATCAGAGAGAGCTTTATTGACAGGTGTGTTTACACATATGAGGAATTTGTTTTGGTGACAGAAGCTTCTACAGCACAAACAGAATGACAGTGACAAGACAAGACACAGATAATAAAAAGAATAAAATAGAATAAGTAAAAAAGAAATAAAATATACAACAAATTAAATACAAAATACTCAATATTCAAAGTAGAGAATAGATGGTATTTGTGTGTACAGGTGGTATTATGTACAAATGCAAGGAAATGTAAAAAGAGGTATGTGTGCTAAATAAATAAATGTCACATTTATTGCCACGTTAACTGTTCTTGAGATGGATTTCCTGAGGGAATCTGTTGAAGATCTGTGTGAAGATGGAGGCCAGCTGATCAGCAACGGTTTTTAGACAGGCTGGTGTAACACCGTCTGGGCCTGGTGCTTTCCTTCTCTTCTGTTTCCTGAAGACCTGACTCACATCATCTTCACTGATCTGAAGTGCAGGAGGGGGGGCGAGGGGGGTTGCTGGAGCTGTTGATGGCTGTGTAAAGAGATGGTCAGAGTGGGTGTGGGGTGTGAGACCGGGAGCTTCACACCTGCAGTAAAACTCATTCAAGTCTTCAGCAAGTTGTTGATTTGCCTCAATGCTAGGGGATGGTGTCTTGTAGTTCAGAATGGGTGTGGGGTGTGAGTCAGGGTTTTTCAAACCTGCAGTAAAACTCATTCAAATCGTCGGCAAGTTGTTGATTCTCCACAGTGATGGGGGATGGAATCTTGTAATTGGTTATGTCTTTCAGTCCTTTCTACACTGATGCAGGGTCATTGACAGAAAACTGGTTTCTCAGATTTTCGGAGTAGTTCCTCTTAGCCACTCTGATCTCCTTTGTCAGTATGTTTTTGATCTGTTTAGAGAAGACTCTGTCCTCACTCCTGTAGGCGTCCTCTTTGGCCTGACGGAGCTGTCTGAGTTTTGCAGTGAACCAAAACTTTTTGTCGTTGCTGTAAGTTAAATGAGTCCTGGTAGGAATGCACATATCCTCATAGAAACTGATGCATGATGTTACAGAATCTGTGAGCTCGTCCAGATCGGTGGTCGCAGCTCCAAAAACACTCCAATCAGTGTAGTCGAAGCAGGCTTGTAAATCCCGCTCTGCTTCATTAGTCCATCTTTTTACAGTCCTTATTACAGGTTTAGCTGAATTCAGTTTCTGCCTGTCGGTCGGTATAAGAGGAACCAGACAGTGATCAGAGAGCCCCAAAGCTGCCCGTGGGACAGAGTAAAACCGTGGACTTGGCAACACTGTTGACAGTGGGACAGAGGAAAACCGTGGACTTGGCAACACTGTTGACAGGGGAAGGGCGTGGTCTTAAAATGAAAGGTGAATGATGCAAACATAACGTCAGTAGGGGTCACTCATACTTCATTAAATAAATAACAAACAGTTATTTTGCTGAAATATATAATACATGGAATCGCGGGAACACATACTGATGTAATGAGGTCAAAGGTGTGTGTTTATAGAGTAATTTACAACGGCTTCGAACGCGGCTCAACCAATCAAAATAAAGGACTGGAGCCATCCGTTATAATATTTAATTTTGTATTTAATAGACATCATCACAGTTATATATATATATATATATATATATATATATATATTGTTTTCCCTTTAATTTCCAGTAAAAATCACCATTCCATTTCTCTGATACAAGACTACTCATCCACACCGCCCACTTCTACCTCTAACTCAGAATGAAAAATGAAGCCTTGCTGCCACAGTTTTCTACAGGAATCAAGTCTTTAATGTTTCAATTCAGTCACTTTTAATTACATTTATGAAGTGACAGGCAGTAAGTAGCTTTTGTTCGTGTTCTTCTTGCCTTCGGCAGGCTGTGAAAATGAACGTAAGAAAGGACTCAATTAAGCCATATGTTGTTGTACGAGCGGAGAAAATCATTGGAGTGTAATGGAAAAACTGTTCCATTTTCCTTCGAGTTTCCATTCCCAGCAAATAGCACCAAAATCCATCCGAAGGACGAGGACAAATATTAGTATAATGAGACAAATGCCACGACCCTTTGCGGGGGCCGTCACAGAGGGCCAGTGCTGATGATGTTTGAGAAGACGACGTGCTATTTGTTTAGCTATCATTCTCAGTGACGGAATAGGGAATTGAGGCGAGACGGAATTGGAAGTGATGGAAGTGATTCGACAACACAATTCCACATGCTTGCAAATGAATTGTGATGTTCTCTCATATCAGCAGAAGGGCTGTAATGGGAATTCAGATTCGTTTGAAAATGCTAGCTACTGTATATTAGATGGAGTAATGAAGTCGTTTTTGCTCTAAATGTGTGCTGCTCTGCAATAATACATGACAAAGTGTGTTTGCATACAAAATTGCATGCAACAATGCTAGGCTGTTATGGGTGGTTTCATTGTCAATATATTAAATATTCAAGCATCTCTCCTAATGCAATTTACTCTACCATTCAAATGTTTGGGAAAAAAATACAGTAAAAACAGTAATATTATGAAATATCATTACAATTTAAAATAGCTGTTTTCTTTGTGAATATCTGTTAAAATGTAATTTATTTCTGTGATCAAAGCTGAATTTTCAGCATCATTACCCCAGTCTTCAGTGTCACATGATCTTCAGAAATCATTCTAATATGCTGAATTGCTGCTCAAGGAACATTTCTGATTATTATCAATGTTGTGCTGCCGAATATTTTTGTGGAAACAGTGATAGATTTTATTTTTCAGGATTCACAGATAAATAGAAAGTTCAAAAGAACAGCATTTATTTGAAATAGTAATATTTTATACATACATACATACATACATATATATATAAAGCTAAATTTCTAAAATCTATTCAAAACCAATATGTAGTTCATACAGTGGAAGTGGTTGCTATGCGGTTGCTAGAGTGTTCCAGGGTGGTTGCTATATGGTTACTAGAATGTTCAGTGGTTGCTATGAAGTTGCTAGAGTGTTCCAGGAGGTTGCTATGCAGTTGCTAATATGTTCTGTCTGGTTGCTATGCAGTTGCTGGAGTGTTCTGTGGTTGCTATGCAGTTGCTAGTGTGTATTATCTGGTTGCTATACATTTGCTAGAGTGTTCTGTCTGGCTACTGCTATGGAGTTGCTAGAGTGCCCTGGGTGGTTGCTATATGGTCACTAGAATGTTCCAGGTGGTTGCTATGTGGTTACTAGTGTTTTCCAGGATGCTTGCAATATTGTTACTACAATATTTGGTTGTTGCTATGCAGTTGCTAGAGTGTTCCGGGTGGTTGCTATGCGGTTGCTAGTGTGTTCCAGGGTGGTTGCTATATTGTTACTAAAATGTTCGGTGGTTGTTATATTGTTACCAGAGTGTTCGGTGGTTGCTCGGCTGTTCCTAGAGTGCCCTAGGTGGTTGCTATATGGTCACAAGAATGTTCCAGGTGGTTGCTATGTGGTTGCTGGTGTTTTCCAGGATGCTTGCAATATTGTTACTACAATGTTTGGGTGTTGCTATGCAGTTGCTAGAGTGTTCCAGGTGGTTGCTATGCAGTTGCTAGTGTGTTCCAGGATGGTTGCTATGTGGTTACAATAATGTTCAGTCAGTGGTTGCTATGGAGTTGCTAGAGTTTTCCGGGAGGTTGCTATGCAGTTGCTAATATGTTCTGTCTGGTTGCTATGAAGTTGCTGGAGTGTTCTGTGGTTGCTATGCAGTTACTAGAATGTATTGTCTGGTTGCTATGCAGTTTCTAGAGTGTTCTGTCTGGTTGCTAGAGTGCCCTGGGTGGTTGCAATGAGGTTGCTAGTGTGTTCCAGGGTGGTTGCTATATTGTTACTAGAATGTTCTGTGGTTACTATGCAGTTGCTAGAGTGTTCCGGGTGGTTGCTATATTGTTACTAGAATGTTTGGTGGTTGCTATGATGTTGCTAGAGTGTTCTAGGGGGTTGCTGTGCGGTTGCTAGAGTGTTCCGGGTGGTTGCTAAACTTGCAATGAGGTTGCTAGTGTGTTCCAAGGTGGTTGCTATATTGTTACTAGAATGTTCGGTGGTTGCTATGCAGTTGCTAGAGTGTTCCGGGTGGTTGCTATGAGGTTGCTAGTGTGTACCAAGGTGGTTGCTATATTGTTACTAGAGTGTTCCGGGTGGTTGCTAGAGTATTCTTGGTGGTTGCATGACCAGATAAAATACTCCAAAATGCTGTTTATTTTGCATTAAGAAGAGCAAAGGCACTCACTGGGCATCCACGAGCGCTTCAGTGTCGCCTCGGCCCCTTCATGTGCTGCAAATGGAAGAATAAAGGAAGAACAAGGTTCAAACTCAAAACAAGTCAAGGAATCAGCTAAATAACATGATAAACATTAACTCACAGTTGACTATCAGCCTGGCGCTGGACGTCGCCTCTCCCAGAGAACTTTTCGCTATAACCTTGTATTCTCCGGCATCTTCAGCAGAACATCTGAAAAGAAAAGAAAGGAAAAGAAAAGAAAGAAAGAAAACTAAATTAGACAGCAGGCATATTTTATTGTTGAAGAGGTACAAAATAAAAGTATCTGCAATCTGTTCTGAGTATTTTTAAATGAATTAAAAATCAATATTTTTCAATGAATTAATTTATTGAACATTAATTGCATGGAGCACAGAAGCTCAAACATTCACCTTGTGTTTCAAGAAGGAAATGAAATGTGTTATTCAGGGCTTTGTTTTTTGTTGTTAATTAAAAATAAAACCATTAAAAAAATATGTTCGTTACTTGATATGTATTGTATTGTACTTGAAAAGTATTTTGTGAAAATATTTATTTATTTATTACATGAATATAAACATATGAATCTTTCAGGCAATATAACTGTTATTTTCCCTCTTGTTTTCTGTGATTTTTGTTGTACATTTATTTATTTATATTGTAATATATTATATTTATATCTTAAATATGCTAATTTTAGATAATAGAATTGTTATTTTCTCTTGTTTTATCTTATTTTTGTTGTGATTTCAACATAACCAAAATAAATAAACAAATTAAATAAAAGATAAAATAAAACAAATGAATAAAATAATAAAGTAATGCTTGGTCTCTAACTTACAAATAATTATTAACTATCATTCTGGCAGAAATTTCTACCTAAAATAACAAAAATACAAAAACAAAAATTAATATTGTATTTCAGCTAGTCGTTTAGTTTAACTTAAAGTAAACTAAAGCTGAATTAAAAATTAATGAAATGTATATACACATAAACCCCCCCCC